CCTTTATAACATAAAAAAAAACAAATAATAATCCCTTTATTGATAAAAAGAACAAATAATAATCCTTTTATAACATCAAAAAAAACAAATAATAATCCCTTTATTGATAAAAATAACAAATAATAATCATTTATAACATCAAAAAAAACAAATAATAATCCCTTTATTGATAAAAATAACAAATAATAATCCCTTTATAACATCAAAAAAAACAAATAATAATCCCTTTATTGATAAAAATAACAAATAATAATCCTTTGATTTATCAAAATAACAAATAATAATTCTTTGATTTATCAAAATAACAAATAATAATCTAACATCAAAATAACAAATAATAATCTCTTGATTGATAAAAAAAAAAAAAAATAACAAATAATAATCCTTTGATTTATCAAAATAACAAATAATAACCATTTTGATTGATTAAAATAACAAATAATAATCCTTTGATTTATCAGAATAACAAATAATAATCCTTTTATATCATCAAAATAAGAAATCACTTTTAGTTATTAGATAAAAAAACTATATAAGTAGGTGAGATCCTCTCTCTGGAGAAATTTAGGCTCTCCTGCATTATTTTCTTAGGATGGTGGCACATAGACTTGGTTCAACCAACCCCTATGTTAGTTAAGACACTTCAAATTGAATACTTACATAACCTGATGTAGCAGTTAAAGTTTCGGGCTGGCTGTCCCCTGATAAACTAGCTATCATTCGACTAGAATATGATATACCATCATAAACAAACAAAAAATCAAAGGAACATTCAGTCGCCATACTTTTAAATTCTAGATGTATCGTTTTATTTGGACCACCAGCTGAAAAATATCATTATATCATATCATTCAATATTGATACCAGTTGCAAATAATATAAACAAACAAAATATCATTAAATTCAAAATTAATACCGGTACCCAAATAATATACACAAACAAAATATCATTAAATTCAAAATTAATACCGGTACCCAAATAATATAAACAAACAAAACTGACTTTTAATTTGACTGATGCAAATAATGCAGTAGAAAATAAATTAAGATGGAAACCTCACTGGTGCACTGGTGTGTAAACTGAAATATAGGGGTGATAACTGTCAGCCCAATAGAAATACGGTATTGTATTATATTATAGTACCAGGTAGGTGCCTTCTAAAATGTCTATTATGTGTATCAAGAGCATTGATTTGCACCAATCTGATATTCAGTCAGACGTCTGTGGTCCTGCAATTCCACATTTCTTTTCATACCGCAAAAGTTATAGTACTAGGGGTCATTTGTGATATCCATGTCATCACCAACCCTGTCTAGAGCTGTCCACCTGTCTAGAGTCATCCACTGCTAAGTATGCTTTATCACACAAGAAGGCCCTTTGCGATTAACCCTTTCAACCCTAGCACCCGGTTTACCGAGCAGCCGGCATACCGGACGTTGCTAAGTGACGTCATACAACGTTAACGTTTACTTTTATTTCAGGGTGACGTTATATTTCATTTACACTCAGCGTTCAAAAAGTTAAAGCACTCAGTTTTAGTGGAATTGCAGGAACCAGAGACTTCTGATTAAAAATTGGAATGGTTCAAATTGATGTTGACAGTGTCTAGAAGAGGCTGTAGGCCTAATTAAAAAATTATTTAAACTTCTTTACAATCCCTTCAGACTCATTTTGTTATTTCTTGAAAACAGGAAACCTGGAAAACACTTACCTTCAATCAGCCATTCACAGCGAGCAAATCGTGGATATTCATTAGGACCATCAGAAATTATGCCTTTTTCTCCATTTAAAACCTTTCTACCAGTGCAACCCTCTGTCAATCGGCACACCAAAACAATGGCAGCCACCACAGTCAGTGGCAACTTTAAAGTAATATATTTCATTCTGTAGTTTAAAATCGCAAGCAATATCTACCACTTGTCAAAACTTCATTCCATTTTAAACCAACCAGATTTCGTCTGATGTCAGAGTTCCAGTCTTGGGAAAAAATTCCAACTTTCATGCATAAAATTAACCGATTTTGACGACTGCTCTCGTCACCATTTTTATTATATACCATCTAGCCAGTTATCGTCGCCCATTCCTCTACCTCCCAGCACCAACCGATCACAGGAACGATGGAAAATGAAGGAATTACCAGGGTTATTTTGACATTAACCACTGTATTGAAGCAGACATTAAAACCACCATTGTTAGAAAAGAAATGTAACGAGGTGAATAAAATAATCCATTTTCATTGGTTAATAAAAAATAGTCCGGTATCTCCGACTTGTGTTAGATTGTGATGAAAACATAATCTCATAAAAGCATTGGCCTAGGTCACAAAATAAAGATTTATGTTAAACAAGATGATAAAGTTATAGAATTTGATATGTTGAATTATATAGAAGTGGTGAGTAAAACTTACGATTGTGTTAAGTTTATGGTTACGTGCGTTTATCAAACTCTATCGTAAGTTTCACGAATAATATTATGATAAGAATTGTCATACAATGGAGCTGTTAGACTTAATAGAGACAAGAAAATCGAATTGTACCAAAAATCAAGTAGATGCTACTGAAAATATATCTCTGGTAAAAGAAAAATCTTCATCCTCATTAACGGAAGACTATCTATAAATAGAATCTATGATTTGTATGATGTGAAGTAATAACAATATATAACAAACTGTGACGAATTTAGGCGTTCAATATTTGGGCCACGTCCCCTCGCGCTGTAAATAATGAAATGTTAAATGGCAGATAAAAAGATAGGATATGAAGCTCTATCTTACCAAGTTTATATTTCTATTATCAACGTTCAGTGACACAGATTAATTTAAAAACAGCTGAGATCAGCCTGAGTGAGGTGAAATTATACACTACACTGTCACTTTCTATAAATATTTCTGATTATATATCAGGGTATCATAATAATAAACAGATGATTAACATAATTTATCATCCAAAACTCCAGGTTTTTACCGAAAATAAAACTTTTAATTACAAATTACAGAAGTCATCTGCTACTGTGTTAGTTTTATTCTCTAATGGTGTGTTAATATCAGCAGGTAACTCGGCCTTGTTGACTCTAAACAGATAACATGAACGCAAGCCCTCATCACTCAGAGAACGACAATTTCTCAACCCGTTACACACCGTCTTACATTCATCTAAAGTTTTAGAAAAAGCAACAAAGATGACTGGATTTGGATAAAGATGGCATCTCTAATTATCAGCATTAGCGGTTATAGCGGTTCAATTGTCATCGAGTTAACACAGGTCATTGCAGGTACTCTGTCCACGAAGTCCAGTTTCAATTTCTTTTGGTATCACAGTTATATCATAGCACTTGTAACAATTTGAAATATAAACAATATCAATTATATTTTATTCGTAAAGATTCGTAGGCTCAAATACGACATGTTTTTTAATTTTTTATTTTCTACTTTGAAATTCTCAATTTGACTTTGTAAAATTAGTAAGTATATTCTTATACGTGATAATGTTTCGTGTAATCGAGGCCTGACATTATGACAAGCTAGTTTGTCATCGTACGCCCCCCTCTACCGGTCTTATAGGATATATAGTACATTGTTGTTCTATTAGCGAGGCTCTACGATCTACTTACGATACAGATACGATAGAGTTGTGGTTCAAGTACACTAGATTTACGGTACGATAGAGTTACGAAATAGGTACGATAGAATCACGATTCAGTCACGGTAGAGAAACAATACAGGCACGATAGAGTTACGATAGAGTTATGATACAGTTAAGATAGAGTTACGATAGAGTTATGATACAGGCACGATAGAGTTACGATAGAGTTATGATACAGGTAAGATAGAGGTACGATAGAGTTATGATACAGGTAAGATAGAGTTAAGATAGAGTTATGATACAGGCACGATAGAGTTATGATACAGGTAAGATAGAGTTAAGATAGAGTTATGATACAGGCACGATAGAGTTACGATAGAGTTATGATACAGGTAAGATAGAGTTAAGATAGAGTTATGATACAGGCACGATAGAGTTACGATAGAATTATGATACAGGTAAGATAGAGTTACGATAGAGTTATGATACAGGTAAGATAGAGTTACGATAGAGTTATGATACAGGCACGATAGAGTTACGATAGAGTTATGATACAGGTACGATAGAGTTACGATAGAATTATGATACAGGTAAGATAGAGTTAAGATAGAGTTATGATACAGGCACGATAGAGTTACGATAGAATTATGATACAGGTAAGATAGAGTTACGATAGAGTTATGATACAGGCACGATAGAGTTATGATAGAGTTATGATACAGGCACGATAGAGTTACGATAGAGTTATGATACAGGCACGATAGAGTTACGATAGAGTTATGATACAGGCACGATAGGGTTATGATAGAGTTATGATACAGGTAAGATAGAGTTACAATATATGTACGGTAGAGGTATGATTCAAGTACGCTAGATTAACGATACGATAGATTAACGATACGATAGAGTTACGATACGATAAAGCAACGATACAGGTATGCTAGAGTTACATTAGGTACGATAGAATTACGA